CCGCCCGCGCGCTCACGCCGTGCCTGTACCTGGCGGTGTGTCGAGATGCCTTCGATGAGGCGGTGCTGCAGTGCGGCGGGGGCGTCCAGTGGCGCGTGGAGCAGCTGATGGCCGAGCTCCGCACGTGCCCGGTGACGGATGCCCCTGGCGACGCCGGTAGGCAGCCCAGCGCCCCCCTCGGCTGGGCGACGCAGCGGGCATTGCAGGATATTCCAGCGCCGCACCTCGCCCAGTTCTTGGCGTGCGGTGAGGATGCCGTGTTCATGCCGGGCGAGGAGATGATGTCGCCCCAGGCCGGTGCCGAGGTGATGGTGTTGCTTTTGGCTGGCCAGGCCTGCGTGGAAAGCGCTTCGGGCTGGAGGCGGATCGGGGAGCGAGAGATACTCGCAGCCCACGTTGTGCACGGCTTTCCGCCGGATGGCGTCGTTGCCGCAACTGCCTGCCGGGTCTTGCTGCTGCACCGCCAGAGCTTGCTGGCCCTGGCGAGCCAGTGGCCTGACGACATCACCTACGCGCTGGTCACCAGGCTAGAGTCCACATCGTTCCAGGCGGCACCGTGCACGGGGCTGCGGCAACGCGCTGAGCAGCTGACCCAGAGGTGCCTGACCGAGGCGTCGAGCCGAATGTTAGGAGTATGCCCCGGGGCCTCGAGAAAGAGGCCGACGCGTCCGGTTGCGGGCGCAGCCTCCGTCTGCGGGCGGCCGCGCGAGAGGCCGAGGCGCGGAGCGGGAGGCGGGGCGCAGGCCGCCCGACCGTCCACCCACGACCCCGTGCTGGGCGGTAGGCCTGGATCGAAGTCGACTGCGCGGTGCTTGGCAGACTCGTTGCAGTCGGCCGGGCCAGCGACCCACGACCTGGCACTGGGTCTGCAGCCTGCCTCGCGACGGTCGCGGCAAGCCCGCCCGCCAGGCTGGAAGGCGGTCCGAAGCGTGGTGGCCATGCAGGGCGCCCTGCGGTCCTCAAAGGGCACGGACGCGCCAAAGGGCGCACTGGAGGTGCCTCCCGACCTGGACGGCGAGGAGACCAGCGCGGAAGTCACGGAGACGATCGCCGAGCTGCCTGAGGAGGGGGGCACCTTCGTGAGGGACATGAGCCGCCTCGCGCGCCAGGCGGCCGCGGTGGCCGCGGACTCCCGCCTCGAGGCCGAGAGGCTGCGGCGCGACGCAGCGGAGTTGCAGCGCAAGCTCCTGAAGATTGCGTCGCAGGCTCCCGAGGCAGAGCAGGCTCCCGCTCCCGCTGGTAGCCTCGCGGGCGGGTCCAGCGCAGGCGCGTGCGGCACGGCGCTGGGGAGGCCCCCCCAGGAGGCGGGCGCGGAGCTGCGTGCCCTCGCGGCCGCGCAGGCGCGGCTGGACAGGCGGGAGGCGCAGGTCCAGCGGGCCCTGGAGACGCGGGACCGACTGCTGTGGCAGCTGGGTTCGGGCCGCGAGGTGGCCCACGGCGCCGCCTGAGGCGCGGCGCCGCGGTGGCGCGGCGTCGCGGCGGGCTGGCCGCTGCGCCGCTGCGGCGTGACCCCGCGGCGCTGCGGCCAGGAGCTGCCGCCATCCGCTGCCGCTGCCGCGCACGGCGGCCCGGGTGCCCGCAGGGCCCTGTCTGGCGTGTCCTGGGTGTTGGCCAACTAGACGTAAGAGTGACCTTTCGCCGGAGTGACCTTTGGGTGCGCGCCCACTGGGGTCCCGCGATCGCCGAACACGGTGCGGTAGTAGTGTCTTGTGCCCTTGTGTTTGCCCCCCCGCGGCCCCCAAACAGCCGCGCACCAAAGGTCCGCCTTACCCAGGGTCACTCTTGCTCGTCGTCGAGTTGGTGAGGCCGACCCAGTCGGCCGCGCGCGAGGGACGAGAATGGCCCCAACCAACTATGTTTCCGTCTGCTACGCGTGCGGTGAGGTGGAAGCGCTCGTCGGCACGCTTGAATAGTTGGTTTGTCCTGCCTTGGTGCACTCCTCAGGTCTGCTCCCCCGAAGTGTTGGAAAGCTCCTGAGGCATGCTACTGCAATTGTTTCACTCTCGTTGTTTTTTTCAGAGCTTCTTTCTTGATTTGATACCTAAGCTATTGCGAATGATAGTTGAAGTTTGACGTGCTGATGCGGTTAGCCCACTGGCGTGCACTGGAAGCGCGACCAATGCTTGTTGACGCCCTCGCGGGCACCTGGCTTGGTTGTTCAGGCGAGTTCGCGGGACGGACACTGCACCCCGAGATATTGGCAAGTTCGGCCCACCGTCTCGGACGAGTGCCTTGGTACATCTGTACTGGCCACGGCGGACTGATTTGTTCAATCCGTGGGCCCCGGAGTTTTGGACCTTTGTTCCCACACAGTCACCGCGGGTGCCTTTCCGATGGCCACGGCGTTCGGCAATCGTTTTCTCATACCGAAGTAAATTAAAAAGTCGGGATTTCACACGCGCACAAGCACAAAACAAACAAAACAAACATCTCGCCAAAGGTATGGGAGCGCGCCCAACCCCGATGCATGTATTCATTGATACATGCAGAACCGCCGCCTGGGAGACTGATCTCCAAGGCCCCCCGGAGGCGGTGATTAATGGTATCGTATACTTGGGCTCTGCGCGGGCCCAACTGTGTCCATGTCCACAGCTTCCTCCTGGGGCCCTAGGACGTCGGCTCTGCAGGCGGCGGACATGTACGAGTCCCAGACTTCGACACCTTTCCTCGGCCGTGAGGGTGGCATGCCTCTGATCCTTTTTGGGCACGCGCGCCGGATCCGTGCGCGCAGGTGCCGACTCCAGCGCCCGCCGGGTGAAAAAGTTTGGCCCGAAACTTGCCCAGCGTTTTCTCAGTCCGAGGCGCGGATTTGGCCGCGTCCACCGCCTGGGGAGCCGATCTTCTGGGACCCAGAGGAGGCGGTGGATGTGGATGTGGATCGGACCCCCAGGGGCCCAAACATGTCCATACCAACCGCCTCCTGGGGTCTTGGGGGCCCAGGCGGGCGGTAGATCTGTATGAACTCCAGCCTCGCAGTAAACATAAAGCTTCTCGGAGCCGCGCGAATCTTCGAGCGTTTACGTTGATATTGTTTATTGTGACGGCCTTCGTCCACTGCCGCCGATCCGGGATTGTATGGATATGTTTTTTCCCCCTTCTTCCCCTTCCCCTCCCCCCTCGGATCTTTTCCCCCTCCCTCCACTCTCCATTCTCTCCCATTCTTCATCCTACCCCTCATCTTGCCGCTCTCGACATTCTCTCACACGCACAAACACCACCCCGTTCACCTACCACCACACACAGAAACCACCCGCACCCCCATCCCCCACTTCACTGCACCCAGCCCCACGCCACGCCACCCGATTGCACTCCTTAGCTCCTTAGCTCCGAGGCCACCCACCCATCCACCCCACTCCAGCCACCTACGTAGTTATATCTCTATATATATACATATACATATATGTGTATATATGTATATATCTATAGGTGTGTATATCCATATATATATATATATGTTACGTGTATGTATGTATGTATGTATGTAGGTAGGTAGGTAGGTAGGTATGTATGTATGCATGTACGGATGGATGGATGTATGTATGCATGTATGCATGCATGCATGCATTGCATGTATGTCTGTCTGTATGTATGTATGTATGTATGTATGTATGTATGTATGTATGTAGGTACGTATGTATGTATGTATGTATGTATGTATGTATGTATGTATGTACGTATGTATGTATGCATGCATGCATGCATGCATGCATGCATGCATGTGTGTAGGTATGTAAGTATGCATGCATGTATGTATGTATGTATGTATGTATGTATGCATGCATGTATGTATGTATGTATGTATGTATGTATGTATGTATGTATGTATGTATGTATGTATGTGTGTGTATATATATGTATGTGTATATATGTATATATATATATATATATATATATATGTATCCTTGGGGGGCAGGCCCGGGACCCACAAACAGGTGCCCCAACCCCCCATGGCAGGACGGGGCGGCCGGGGAGGTCCAAAATAGTCCAGGATGGCCTCCAGAGGCTCCCCAGACGGCCCAAGTGGGCCCCGAGTCGCCGAAAGACCGCTCCTGGACGCCAAAGATAGGTCCAAGACGGCCCGAGAGGCCCCCCCCAAGGCACTCCACGACGCTTCAAGACGCCTCTCCAGAGCGCTTCAAGTGGCCGAAACTATCATTTTTATACAAAGGTTTTTGAGAGATTTCAGCCTTCCAGCCTTTTCGGCTGTCCGAAGTTCCAAGACGGCCCAATACGCCCCCAAGACGGCCCCAGACGGCCCCAGAGGCGCCCAAGACAGCCCAAGAAGGCCCCAAGACGACTTGTCTTTGGGTCCGTAGCCATTTTGGCTCAAGGGTTGCCTCGTCTCAGGTTCAGCATTTTGCGTCAGCCGTCCGAAGACGCTATTCCGCGTTTACCTCTGGGAATGGATGAATCGAGCGGCATTGGAGGATTCGCGATTGGCGGCATTCGATGGCTTCCGTTTGAGGTTGAAACGTTTTTTCAGCGCAGTGACGAAGAAGAAGTTGATTTGAAGAACGATGGCAATTTCGATGGCTTGATGATGCGGACGAGGCAGGCACACCAGCTTGAGATCAGATGCCTTCAGTGCGAAGTTCAGAGCTTGTGCAAGAGGCTGGCGGCCGCAAGCAGGGATAGGAACGCACGTGTCGACGCGCTCGCCAAGCGAGCAGACCTGCCCGTTGATCCAGAATTGGTGTACATGGTCATCGAAGAGCCTTTCCCTGGCCAGAAGGAAGCCTCCATAGACGCTCCGTCCCGCGTGGCCGACAGTGCGTCGGCGGGCCTGTCGGAGTCACCCTCGGGCCGGCCCGGCCCGCAGAGAGGCCACGAGGGCGGGGGGAAGCCGGCCCAGCAGGAAGGCGCCATGAGGGGAGGCCAGACGAGGAGGGCGTCGGCGCCGCTCTCTGCGAAGGTGAAGAGGCAGGTAACGTGGGCCGACAGTCTCGTGCACAGCGTGAAATACCAGAGGCATGTCGTGGAGTCGCTGAGGACACGCAGTGCGCTGACCAGGCTGATTCAGCACCCGGGGTTCGAGGTTCTCGTTGCCAGCGTGATCGTCCTGAACGGAGCAGTCATGGCTGCCGAGGCGCAGTACCAGGGCTTCAATCTGGCCGTGTGGACCGGCCACGACGCTGCAGGCCGTGCCTCCTCCGAGGTGTGGCCGCACGGTGCAGCAGTATTCTTGGCATGTGAGTGGATATTCGGAGTATTCTTCCTGGTCGAGATTATCATCAGGATTGCAGCGGAGCGTTTGCAATTTCTCCGAGACTACTGGAATTGTTTAGATCTTTTGGTTGTGGCGCTCTGGACGGCGAGCCGTTTTGAGATTGGCCCGAGCGTGAATGTGCAGATGCTGCGTCTCGCTCGCCTATCACGGCTAGGGCGCCTTGTTATTTGAACAGCTCTCGGTTCGATTCGTGTACGTCATGGTTACGTCGCTCCAAGGGGCTGTGGCGGTGCTAGCATGGTCTTTCACTGTGTTGTTGATTTTGCACATGATCTTAGCGCTGGCTGTCAACCAGGCCCTTCATGTTTGGTATTTCGACGAAGGCAAGGCCGAGGAACAAGCCGAGGTGTTTGAATATTTCGGGAGTTTTACACGGTCACTTCTCACAATGTTTGAGTTTACCCTTGCAAATTGGATAGTCCCAGCGCGGGTGTTGATGGACCAGGTGCACGAGTCGCTCTTCATCTATTCGATCTTGCACAAGATGGTGCTCGGATTTGCCATCATAGGAGTAGTCAACGGGATATTCATCCAAGAGACATTCAAGGTGGCTGCGATGGACGACGCGATAATGGTGAGGCAGACGACCAGAAAACAGACGGCCCACATCGCGAAGATGAAGAGCCTCTTCGCCACGGCAGACACGAACAGAGACTGCGCGATTGATCGCGACGAATGGCTGGAGTTATGCGAGGACGACTGGGTGAAGGTCTGGCTGACAGCTCAAGACTTCCCGGATCTGCTCAGACTGTTCGACGAGCTGACCCACGGACGTGAGCGCCTCACCGCGCAGGAGCTCATCGAAGGCACGGCGCGGATGAAGAGCGACGCTTCGCCCCTGGGTGTGGTCAGGCTGATCAGCGAGGCGCGCGACCTTGTGATCAGCGAGGTTCGCGAATGCCTGAAAGGAGTCGAATGCACACTGCACGAGGCCCTTGCTCTCAAGCCACACACAGTACCGAATCACACCACCTCGCCCTAAAGCGGAGCGTGCAGAATACCAACAGTTCACAGGCCTCCGTTGCGGGCGCCTTCCACTCTCCCGGGGCAGCGCGAACGCTGCCCACCGCGCGTGCAGCAGCGTGACTTTCCAATCTCCCTCGTCTTCATCCCCCCCTCTCCTCGAGGGCCACTTCGGACCAGCGAAGCAGGATGGCGCTTGGTTTTCTCCTCCTCGTTCCTCCCCCCCTCCCCTCGAGAGGCACTTCGGACCACGCACTGCCATGGCGCGCCTCCGCTGTGCCGCCATTGCTCTAGGACCACAGCTCCATGCGCTGTCCCCTGTCCTTCGTACGCCAGAGCAGTATCTCCCGTGTACTGATGCTTTTCTAGAAGTGATCCCATAATTTGTCTCAAATTGGACGTGCAGCCTGTGCACTGTTTTTGTTGTTTAAAGAAGTGATCACATAATTTGTCTCAAATTGGACGTGCAACCAAGCTGTCGACGAGTCCTGAGGATGGCTGTCGCACACTGCTGTACAATACAGGGAAAAGTGAACGCGTTCACTGAAGCCATCTTCCAAGTCTGGGACTAGGTTCCTAGGAGGTTTCGATGTGGGGAATGGTGCCCTCTTGATGGTTCTTGGAGCTCTCCTGGACCGACATGGTGCACCTGAGCAGCCTTGGGGCCATCCTGGGCTGCTTTGAGCACGTGCAGCCATGCATCTTTGCGATATTATCCTCTCGCTCTCGCTCTCGCTCTCTCTCTCTCTCATCCTCCTCCTCCTCCTCCTCCTATCGCCGGTGCCGTCTTTTTTTGGTTTCTGCAAGTGCGCTGCCCAGATGTTTGGCAAGCACGTTGCCCACTCTCCTTCTTGCTCCTGCCGAGGCGCCCACCGTTGGCTGGATGGAAGCTAGGGGCCCTACCAAGGCAGACCGAGACTGGAGGTGTCGCGTCTATGCTCCCCTACTCATTCGGCCGATGCCGGAGTAAGGACAGGCGTCAGCATCATGTGCTTCTCGCGACAAAGGCGAAATATTTAGTCGTTGGGTTGGGCCCTCTCGGAACGCTTCTGAAGCCCTCTTGGGTCCTCATGGCCAGCCAGTGGTATCCCTGTAGGGTATACTTGCGGCAGCCTGGATCTGCTCGGAGGCTGAGCCCCCCCAAAACAGATGAGAAGCAAACGTATCAGGTGAAGACCGAAGCAGCCGCATACGCACAAGAACGGCCCGCCTCTCGCGAATTGAGACCGTCTGTCTCACCGACGCAGGCAGGCGGGCTTGGCTAGCAGCCGTTCGAGCAGCTTCGTCCGCGATGATTGCCTATGATAAGCCATCGAGCCGAGCTATTCCTAACGACTTCCCCCCTGCCCTGATGGGAGTGGACCAACAGCACAGTGAAGGCCAGTGTCGCGGCCTTGCTGTCGGAGATTGGTACCTGGAGTGCCCATAGGTCGCCGTCCTCTCCCGCTGGTGAGAGCCACCTCTTACTGTGCCGTCCTTTGACTACAGGCTCGCCGTCGGAAACATGATACAGGAGGGGAGCATAAAAAAACGGCTTGTCTTGGGGCTGCTTGTTCCGCTTGCCGACGCTCCAACACTGCCCTGGGCGTTCCCCAGTTGAGCCTCTCTCTCTCCTCCAGCCTCTTGTCTCCAACATCGGGCTCAAATGTTCTCGGCTGCGCGAGCTCAGCTTCTTCTTGCAGTCTCCATTGCCGAGACTGCACGTTTTCCTCTGGCGGGACACCCCGCTCTGACCCTTTACAGACTCCTGCTCGCATTGGTTTGCGATGGATTCGGCTCCGCCCTGCGCCCAGCGCAGAGTCGACGTGCAGGCGGCCAGCAGTATACGTGCTGCAGCCCGTGACCATTGCCCGATGTGTTGCGAGATGCCTTGGACTGTCGGTGTCGTCTGCGCAGAGTTGATTTGCCAGGCAAGTCCGTTCTTGTCATGATGTAGCGCGGGGAACTGCTCAATAGCGACGGGCGATGTTGCGTCGTCATCTTGAACAAAAAAAGGCCCCAAGACGGCCACAAGATGCGCCCAAGAGGGGGACCACGATTCCAAAATTCGACCCTCCCGCTTGAAGAGTGCCCCCAAAGGCCCCAAGGAGCCCCCAAGAGGCCCCAGGAGGCCCCCGAGAGGCACCCTGGAGGCCCAAACGAGGCTTCAAGAGGCAACAGAACAGCTCCGAGGAGGCCCCACAACGGTCCCAAAACGGCTACCGAGAAGCCTGTACTCAACAGCTTCAGTCTCCAAGACAACACCCTGTAGTCAACAGCTCCCGTCTTCAAGGCAATACCCTGTACTCAACAAGCTCCCGCTGCAAGAGAGCACCCTTAAGGACTTCATTCAAATCCCGACCCGCCCGCTCGCCCGCCACCCGCCCGCCCGCCCGCCGCCCGCCCGGCCGCTCGTCCGCCTTCCGCGTAGCACGCGCCACCCTGCACTCAACAGCCTCCACCTCCAAGACAACACCTAGCATTCTACAGCCCCCAGGGCTCCCAGGACTGCCCGGGCCCGCTCCCAAACACGCCACGACACGCCAAGAGGGCCCTAATGATTGCCAAGACAGCCCCAAGAGGCCCCAGACACGCCGAAGATGGCTTCAGGACGGCCGACGACGCCGCCAAAACGCCCCAAGAGCGCCTCCAGATGCCCCTCCAAAGGGCCCCGCATTTTTGCGCTCTCGCATGCTCCGCCTCGCTACGGTCCCGGACGGCGTCAGAGGCCCTTCAGATCCCGCCCACCGCCCCAACCATGTTTCCAATAGGTTTGCCGACAAGGCCAAAAAGGGCCCCTCGGTAAGCCCCCAGAGGCCCCCCTCTTAAGAGAGCCGAACAACTCATGCTCCCAGAAAGCTTCCCGGGAACATGATTCTCGGGTTGCCGCCCTCCCCAAACCATGTTCCTTAAACGCTTGCCAGGATAAAAAAGAAACGATAGTCCCAAGCACCACTACCTGCCGCCACGCTCGGAAACGCGTCAGGCCCCGAAGCCCTCCGGAGGCGCCCAACGACACCCCAACAAATCATGTCCCCAGGAAGTCTTATGGCCTGTGCCGCCGACGTTGAAGGAGGACGGTCCAGGACACCCAGGAATCTTCCAAACAGGCTTCCAAGAGGGCGGCGAGACAGCCCGGGGCCGCCCCCGGACGGCCCAAGAAAGCCCCAACACAGACGAAAAGTGCCGCAAGAGGCCCCCAAGAGGCCCCGAAACGAGGCCATCTCGTTCGAACACGCCCAAGATGGCCTCCGGACGGCCCACAAGGCTTCCAACATGGCCCAAAGGGACGCCAAAATCATTGATTGTCCTTAGGTTCTTGATGGATTTCAGACATGTCGCCCCAACAGGCCCCCACGAGGGCGCCGAGACGGCCCAGGCCCAGGGACGCCATGCCGCGGGCACGAGGCGGGGCCAGGGACGGGGCCCTCGCACCCGGGGGCCCTGCTGTGGCGCTGGGGGCCTTGCAAAGTCGCCTGAAGACGGCCCTGGATTGCCATGAATGGCGTTTCCAGACAACGAAAACGACCAGTGATCGCCCGAGATCACCCCAGAATTGGTCCCTGACTGTCCAAGAGGCCTCCAAGACGCCCCAAGAGGTCTCCAAGATGGCTCCCAAGGATCCCCAGGAGGCAGAACTAACTTGTTTTCCTTTGGTTTTTGATCGATTTTCGAGTTCTCGCCTTTTGAGTTTCCTGACGCTCCACGACGGCCCAAGAGGCTTCAATGTCCGCTCCAAGGCATCCACAGGCCTCGAAGACGGTTACAAGACAGCTCACGGAGGTCCCAAGACGGTGCCAGAGGCGCCCAAGGCGGCCCTAGAGGGCCCCAAGACGGCCCCAAGATGGAGCCAAGAGGGTTGACACGAATCGAGAATCCGAGCCTTCCACCCCGAGAGGCTCTCAGGAGGCCCCGAGAAGCCCCTAACAGGCTCCAAGAGGCCCCAAGAAGCTCCCCAGGGGGCCGAAGAGTAATTATCCAAGAGGCCTCCCACGAAGGCCCCAAGAGGCAAGAATCCATGTCTTGCCATAGGTTTTTGATTGATGTTAGAGTTTTCAGCCTTTTGGCGTCCTGACGCTCCAAGACGGCCCAAAAGGCCTCCAAGACCAATCCAAGATAGCCCAAGAGGCCTCCAACAGGGCCCAAGACAGCCCGAGAGGGCACCAACACGGCCTGGCCCAAGAAGGGTAAGACGAACCGAACATCCGAGCCTTCCACCCCGAGAGGTTCTCAGGAAGCCCTAGAGGCCCCAAAATGGGACCCAAGAGGCCCTCAAGAAGCTCCCCAGAAGGCCGAAGAGGTTCCAAGAAGCATTGCTTTCCCATCGGCTTTTGATGGATTTTTGAGTTCCCAGCCTTTTGGCATCCCGACGCTCCAAGACGGCCCAAGTGGCCCCAATACCGCTCCAAGAAAGCCGAAGAGGCCTCCAAGAGGGCCCCAAGACGGCCCACGAGGGCCCCAAGACGGTGCCCGAGGCGCCCAAGACGGCCCGAGAGGGCCCCAAGAGAGCCCCAAGAGAGCCCCAAGAAGGGGGACGCGAACCCAACAGCTGAGCTTTCCGCCCTAAGAGGCCCACAGGAGGCCCCAAGAGTCCCCAAGTGGTCCGACGAGGCCCCCCACCCCAAAGCCCCCCACCAGGCCCCAAAAGGCTCACAGGAGACGTGCACGGGGACCCAAGATAGACGAACAGTGCTCTCGATGCATCAGAATTGCTTCAAGGACGCCCTTGGAGGCTTCCGGAGTGCCCCAATGTGGCCTCAAGCCCGGCCTTCACACAGCCAAGACGGCCAATTGGCTGCTTCAGACTGCAGAACATCACTTTCCGACTGCCCGGGGAACCCTGACGATGCCCCCAAAGGACCCCAAGAAGCCCCAAGATTCCCCCCCGAGAAGCACCCAACAGGTGCCTCCAACAGCCAATTGAAGAAGCACGGAGAACCCCCCATAAGCCCTTCAGATGGAGCCCGTTTCTTTATTGCTTGGGGCATGACGGGCGTCATGGCCCCTGCCCCCCCCCTATGATGTAACGCTCCCCCCTCCAGTGCGCTCCGGGCACTGCCCCCCAGTGCGCTCCGAGCACTGCCGCTGTGCGCATTGGGATCCGCGTAGGTGTCCGCGTAGGAATCCGCATAGGAGTCTGGTCCGCAGTCGTCGTCGTCGTCGTCGTCGTCGTCGTCGTCGTCGTCGTCGTCGTCGTCGTCGTCGTCGTCGTCGCTCGTGGCTTGTCGCTCGTCGCTCATAGTCATCGCGCGCGCGGACGCGGCTGACGCCTGTTTTTTTTTGTTTTTTATATACCGGGCCGATGACGGCAATCATCTAGGCTGGGGATGGCGGGGGTCGGTGACGTCACGTTTCGCGCCGGCGGCGTTTGGGAAGGCCTAGGAATGACGGAGGACGGGTCGCGCCAGCATGTAGGTCGTAGGTGGCTATTTGCATCACAACGCCTGTGTACACCACAGTGCCTGCGTGCACCACAGCGCCTGTGTACACCACCGCCTATGTACACCACAGCAGCCGAATGCAACGCAGCGTCAGTTTGTGCCACCGTGCCTGCGGGCACAACAGCTCTTGTGCACACCGCAGCGCTTGCGTTCACCACATCAGCCGTGTGCAACACAGCACCAGTATACACCACAATGCACGCGTGCATTGTAGTGCGTGTGTACACCACGGCGCCTGTGTTCACCACAGCAATTGTGTGCAACACACTACCGTTGTTGTATAAAGAATGTGAGAACGAATCCTTATGACAAAATGGAGCGCTTGTGGATTCCTTAGAAACAACCATACAACATCATCCTTATGGACAACAGAGCGCCGCTGGAATCTACGTGTCCTCCCGAGTCCAGCCGCATCACCCTAACTCCTCCCTTTGCGTCCAGGAGGTTCCAACGAATTGGCCGTCCGAGAACCAAGTGGACCGATTCAATAGACCATTCTGCGGTGCGCGCTGAGATGCGCACGTGCGCTGTAGCGCCAACCCGCACGATAGGGGGTACGGAGGAGGAGGAGGAGGAGGAGGAGGAGGAGGAGGAGGAGGAGGAGGAGGAGGAGGAGGAGGAGGAGGGAAGAACGTCGCATTCGATAATCAGCAGTTTCCTGGCGTGGCGTCGAGTTGTCCGCAGCAGATCCTCACGTACATGCTCCTTCTGCCTGTCCTATGCACGCAGGGATTGTGGTGTACACCAGCGCTGCGTTGTACGCGGATGCTGTGGTGTAGACACGAGCTGGGGCGTGCACAGGCTTTGCGGTGCACGCAAGCATTGTGGTGTACACAGGCGCTGTGTTGCACATGGTAGATGCGGTGTGCAATGGTACGCCGGCGCCGTAGTGTACGCAAGCATTGTGGTGTACACAGGCGCTGCGTTGCACAGTTGCGGTGTACGCAGGCGCTGTGGTCTACACGCGCGTTGTGTTGCACGCGAGCGCTGTGGTGTACACAAGCGCAGTGGGGCATATCGCCACATACATGCTGCTCGCGTCGTCGGCGTCGTCGTCGTCGTCGACGTCGTCGTCATCGTGATCGTCGTCGTCGTGGTCGTCGTCGTCGTCGTCGTCGTCGTCGTCGCTCGTCGCTCGTCTCGTCGCTCGTCGCGTCGCGCGCGCGGCCGCGGCTTCGGTGCCGGAGCCACACGGCGGGGGGGCGTTACGTCATACCCCCCCCCTCGCGCCCCCCCCATGACGCCCTTCATCGCCGAACATAAAGAAACGCGCTTATGCCCCCACGAAGACCCAAGAGGTTCCCAAGAGGCCTTCAGGAGGCACGACTATGTCACGCGCCTGTGCTTGATAGCGCTGTCCAAGATCTTCTAGCGCGTCCCCGGCCTGGGCTAGAACTTGAGGGCGTGCGAAGCGCGCGATGGTTGTAGTATAAAACTATGTATAACTATAATTCTCTCTATATATACATATGTATGCATATATACATATTCATATATATATATGTACATACAAACGCACGCCTCCCACCTTTCCAACCCTTTTCTACTCCCAGATCGTCCTCCACCACCACCACCACCACCCACCACCACCAACCACCACC